TAGACTAGAGATGCCAGCAGAAGCCAGAGAGCAGCCAACAAGGCCCTTGAGTTGTGGGACCTGAGATGGGGCCACCCATAATCTTAACCTACAGAAACTTTCAGATCAAAGGGTGGGGGCTTTAGGTAAATCACATTGGGAGCTTGATGGTGGGACAATTGAGAGAAATCTGATTTACCGACTTGCCCAAGAGGAAAAATTTATTTTGAAACTTGGAATGAGTGATCACAAACTCCATCAACAAGACTGCTTTGAAAGTCTATCCAAAACCATGCAAAAATAAGCAAAGGAAAAATTCTTGGAAACATTCTAGAAAAATGAATGACCTGCCCACACCTTCTCAAGAGTATTTCTTCCCTAGATCATATTGCCCTGACAGAAATGAATAGGGCTGGCAGGCACCTGAGCCTTTTGCCACCAGGGAGTGGTTGGGAGAGGGTTTTAGAAGGAAACTCACTGGTTTTGTGACGTAATTCATGTGGTACCATATGAAGATGCAAAGCCACTCTAGAGACCTCAGTCCCGGTCAAGCAAAGGTTCCTCAGGACTGTGATCAGGGGTGAGGCTGAGGAATGGCTTCAGGAAGCAGCCGAGGAAGGAGGAAGGCAGGCCTGGAGATGCCCGGAGCTAGATGGGGTCCTTAGCTTTGGAGAGAACCCAGGACTGTTGCAGATTGGGGCCATATTCCCGGACTCTTGGAGATGGAGAGGTTGCATGTTTCTTACTTTTTAAAAGGTTTGTTTTATTATTATGATTATTTATTATTATGATTACTACTATTATAATGATCTTAATCATGGATTTATTATTATTATTATTATGATTATTACTATTGTTATCTTAATTGTGTGTGTGTTTCTTTCTGTATGGCTTTGTATATGGGAGAGTGGGTGCCCAAGGAAGTCAGTGGCGTAAGATACCCTGAAGCTGGAGTTACAGGTGGAGGGAGGGAGGGAGAAAGGAAGGAAGAGAGGGAGAGAGGAAGGGAGGGAGGAAAGGAGAGAGGGAGGGAGAAAAGGAGAGAGGGAAGGAGGGACAGAGGGAGGGAAAAATAGCTCACTTGTATTTAGGATATTAAATCTCTTTCTGGATTTTTACCATTGACATCCTACCAAATCTATCCATCCAAATAACATGAAATATACAGACACACATGTACACATACCACCATCACCACCACCACCATCACCACCACCACCACCACCACCACCACCACCACCACCACCACCACCATCACCACCATCACCACCACCACCACCACCACCACCACCACCACCACCACCACCACCACCGGCAGCAGCAGCAGCAGCAGCAGCAGCAATTCATGTCAAATCTCTTGCCAAATCCTGTGTTTCTCTATAAAACAGTCTTAATTAGTTATAAGCTAAGTGTTATGACACAACCCTCCCAGCTCCAGTCCTTCAATAAGAAAATGTCTCCCTGCATGTTGGTGACCCAGTCCCACTCCTGCTTTTTTATCTCACCACCCCATCCAGCCACCATCCTTCCCTTTATACTGCAGTCATCCTGCAGCCCAGCCTTCCCCACAGAGTGCTGGACATGTGCAGACACATTCTCATTTACAGGGACATAAGGCTTGAGGAGGGGAGGAGGAGATGCCCAGTGATACTACAAAATACCACAGACTGTGACAATCAACACGAAATTATTCCTCACAGTCTAAGACCAAGGTGCTGGTAGCTGCTGAGGGTGGCAGGGGCTTCATTCCCCACAGAGGGCTCTTCTTTCTGCATTTGCATGCACTGGAGGACACATTCCCCAGTCTCTTTCACAAGAGTACAACACTCACGAGGGCTCTATTCTCATGACCTTGCCACCCCATGGCCCCACCTCCTACATCATCTTGGGGGTAGAATTTCCATATAGGGATTTCAGGGAACTACAAACAGCCCATTTTCCTATCTTCTGCCATTCCTGAATAACTGAATCCTGCTCAGATCCACACCTAAACCTAAGTTTAAAGGCCTCCTTTAAAGGTAGTAATGACCCAAATGAAATGTATTCCTAAGCTCTGTGTTCAGTCATCCTCTGTCTGCACTTTACTTAAGATAGTTATTTTCTACCTTGTACTAGAATTTTCCATGTTTGAAGCTAACTTCTTCACTACAGCATAAACTCTTAAAAGGAAAGACACTCAGCCTACATTTGTACATTTGCCTTTCCTTTGTAAAATTACATTCATTATTTATTTTGTGTGCATGTGGAATGTACACCACAGCAAGTGGAAGTCAAAGGAAAAACTGTGGGAGTCCGTTTTATCCTTCTGACATGGGGGTTCAGGGAACTAAACTCAGGTCATCCAGCTTGGCAGCAACCACCTTTTACCTGCTGGGCCAGCTTGTTGGCTCCTGAACTTATATTTCACCCTTGAAATCCAGCATAGTTCCTGGGTCATGAAAACATGAATGCATATGGTCTGTGGTATTAATAACTCCTGCTTCTAACTAAGTGAGAAACTTTACAAAATTAGTTCAAAAATAGTCATTGACTTTGTTAGAGAAATCAGATCAAGAAGAACAAAAATGATCCCTATGCCGACATACCTAACGTCTGTCATTGAGCTCCCTCTGACACTTTGACTTTATGGGCTATCTGGAACTCTGCTAACAGAAAACTCTTCTGCTGAAAGTGTATCAGGTGACACTGATGACGGCGGTAACAGCAAACGCGCAAACCCAAATATCCTCTTGTCCGCTTGCTGGGCAAGCGGTAGAACCGGGGGGAATAGACGAGGGGGTCGGAACCCAACTTGGAATTCACTTGGTGACTTCTGCTAGAAGTGCATACATGCTAACTTGTAATCACGGGCCACATTTGGGGAGTGATGGGGTCCAGGCAGACTGCAGCAATGCCGCCACCGTCACCTGCAGGCCACAGCGCATACGTGGCCACCCGAGACTGCCCAAGCTGGAAGGCAAACGCTTCTAGGGCTGTCTCTGCATGAGCACAAGCCTGACTTACAAACACCAGCTGCAAAGTGCTGTGGATGTCTGTCGCTCTGTAAGCTGAGAATAGGTTGCTCTGATTGGTGGATAAATAAAGCGGTTTGGCCAATGGTGAGGCAGAACAGGGTTAGGCGGGACATCTAACTAGAGAAGAGGAAGGAGAAAGGGAGCACAGAGAGACGCCGCCAGCCGCCGCCATGAGAAGCAAGATGTAAAGATACTGGTAAGCCGTGAGCCACGTGGCAAAGCATAGATTTATAGAAATGGGTTAACTTAAGATGCAAGATCTAGCCAACAAGAAGCCTGAGCCGTTAGGCCATACAGTTTTAATTAGTATAAGCCTCTGTGTGTTTATTTGGATCTGAGTGGCTGTGGGTCCGGGCGGGACTGGAGGAAATTCCAGCTACAGCTAAGTGCTCTTATGCTCCCAAGTGTGCCACTCTTGTCACTAGCCCATCCTGCAATGGAGAGAGCCAGGCAGATATCATGACAGCCTGTCCTAATAATGCAGTTAAAAACTAGGCCTGAATTCCTGCCTCTTGAAACTGAACAGAGAGTTTCCGAGGAAGCCACAAACAATCAATCTTCAATGCCCCTGACAGGGGGGACGAGGGAGATAGCTGGGCCGCTGAGCCAACCCCCACGGTCAGTGTGTACTAGTCCAGCCATCCTCTGAAGTCAATATCTCATGGTAATAACCAAACAAGGACAAAGCCTGGGACTTGTCCTGGCCAGCCCCCAAATGTAAAAGCAGTAGCCTTAATCAGTCCTTGACTAGCCCTAGCCAATTAGAATGCACTAATATGATTGCCACTTGATTAAGCCAATCACGTCTGAGATGATCTAACTACCCTAGGAACTCCCTTTAGTTGTGCTTAAAAGGAGCCCACACGTCCCTGTAGGGGTCGTTGCCATTTTGCCTTTGTGTAGGATGGACGGCCCCAGCATGCTGGTATAATAAATGCTCTTGTTGATTGTATACATGGATGGTGATCTTTTCTCCAGGACTCTAACACAAGGAGGATGGCTGTTCCTGTCCCCAACATAGCAGAGCTTCAGAAACAAGACCACAGCCTAGGCTATTCTATTCATAAACTCTTACTTAAAGAACCATCAAAAATTGAATCCACTGCAAATAAAGTTGAAGTGAAAAGGGCTTTAGAGTACAAAGAAAATTATTTTGCTAGAATGTTCTTTTTTGGGGGTTGGGTGGGGGATCTAGAAATAGACAAATTCATTTTCTGATCTAAATATTTAAGAGCCTTCTAAAGAAAAAAAGCTATGCTGAGTCTGAAAGAAAAGCACACAGAACATAAATAGCTCTCTGTACATCTTTGGAGGACAAGGAACAGGCTAGAGAGCACCGGTGTAGTGAGTCATTCCTGTGTGGAACATGGAGCACACTGACAGGAACAGCTTACAAACCTTATATTCCTAGGTCCTTCATAAAACTCAGGGCCCTGGCTGGCCAACATCAGCAATTACTTTTTCCCAGGGAGCTTATGCTTATTTGAGAGGGAAGGCATTTTTATGGTATGTTTCATCAGGAAGTGTGAACTAACACAGTTATCTATCCCTGTACAGAGGGAGAAAAGCCAACCTGGAGAATCAGCTATGACTTCAGAGGTGTTGTGTCAAGGAAAATGCTCTCAGAAAACATGAGGTGGGATTAAATTCATAAGACCTAAGTGACTGTGCACACAGATACCAGAGAATTCAAGCAGAACACTAAAGTAAGTAACAGAGGATTTTAAATCAATGGGGAAGAGACATAAGTGTTCCCTCAAGGTCAGAGACTCAGTTATTACAAACTGAGTGTGGAGTTTCTAGTTTTTATATAGTAATTTCCAAGAAAATGCCAGAACTGACAGGACAGGCATGCTATAGACTTGGAACCAGCTCCTGCTGGGTGGCTGGTTTGTGTTCCCAGTCTTTAATCTCATGTGATGCACAACTGAGAAAACGGCAAACACACTGGCCTCACAGGAGGTGGAGTTCCTTGCTGGTGGTTGAAATCATGAAAGCATCACCTACCGTGTTCCAGCACTTTCATGGGAAGCCAGAAGAGGATGAGGGAGTGGACCAAGGCATTGATGCAGTGACCCCAGAAAACCTGCAGGAAGACAAACTGTATTCAAGACGCGAATCTCTGTGTGTAGCTTGCAACAGATGAGGTGTTGTGAAGGCTCCTGGTATGGGCTGGCCACTTCTGCAGGGGGCATTGTTCGTCTCAAATTTAAAAGAAATACTGAGCGAAAACAAAACCAAACAAAAACTGTTTTCTCCTATTTATGGGCAGATGGCAGGATAATCTCCAGATTATTATTTCAGTACAAAACCTGCATGGAGATGGCACACAATCCAGCTCAGAGCTGAAAACTGAGCTTCAGTGTGTGAGTATTCCCCCATCGTAAGAGGACACTTCACAACCACTCAGAAAAGGGGACATAGGTTAAAACTGGATAGTAAAAAAAACTAAAATGTTGTTCATTTTGAAAACATTAAAATCCATCTGAATGCCAAGCACATGTAAAAGTCAGAACTGGCCGTGCATGCCTATGCACTTTGCACTGGGTGGTAGGCAGAGACAGGCAGATGAGAGCTCTCTGGACAGGAGGCCTACCCAAAAGACCCTGTCTCAAAAAATAAGGTGGAGAATGACAGATGGAGATACCCAATATTTTCCTCTAGTCTCTGCATGCGCCTGCATCTGTGTGCCTGCCCCCGTGTGTGTGAACGCATATACCTCACACACAAAGTTAAAACCAGTAAATAAGCTTGTAGCCAGCCTAACATGGGCTTCATGAAAGTAAATGGCTGATTTTAATGGAAAGAGGCATGAGATGGTGCTGCCCACAGAATACCAGAGCTGTGAAGAGAAGGAAGGAGGGGCTGGCTGGACTGAGGGAATTGTCTCTGGATCATAGGGCCGGGTATGAAGGAGCTATGTCAATGCCCTCTGTCAAGTACCACTGATCTCCTGGAAGAATAATCAGAGTTGAAAGAGAAGCAGGGCTGTGCCTTTCGCACATGAGAGCTGTTTCATCACATCACTTACTTTAGTGTTGAAGCCTTCTGCATTCTGGGTGATTTTGTAGAGCTGTGGAAACCTCAGCATGCTCTCCTGAGTGCAAGACCTCTCAAAGATTCCCAGAGTGAAGGGCGGCAAGGCGGTGAAGATCTGTGTGAAGATGATAAGGCATTAAACACAGCCCTTTGGCTGCACCCTGTGCCAGGGTTTCGGCTCTGTGAATGATGACTTCTAGTCAAGTCCATGATTCACAACTCCCCATACATCCTCCAAACAGAACAAAAGAAAAAAAATCACCATTTTCTTTCTACTGTTAATCCGTGTAAATGAATCCATGGAATGCTAAAAACATAAATTCCTGTTGAGCTAAAAACTCAGTGTTGAGCAGCTGCCTTCCTGTGTAGAACCAGCAGCCATGGCGCACACACTATGGTCAGCTCCAGGAAGAGGCTCACACAACGGTTTGGTCCGGGAAGCAGCCTGTTTTCTGTCAGTGCCAGCTGCATGAGTTGTACAGCTTTCCCTCCCGATTCTCTCCTCACAGTTTAGGAGGCACAGGCACTTCATGTATTCACTCAACAGTCACTTACTGTGAATGAGATGGGGACAGACAATGTATGGGGCACTGAGAATTCAGACATTTCTTCAGAGAGGAAGAGAGGCCAGGAAGTTTCTAAGACCCTATGTCTCCTGCAGAGGAGGTGACTCATGACAACAGGGTGGTGGTGATACAATGTGTGAAGCATGGGGGTTCAGTGCGGTTGCTCAGCCAGAACGTTATGGCGCCACTGTGAAGAAAGGACTCAGCGCACCAGAGTATGGCACTTGCAAGGCATGGGACCTGCAGGGTTTGGCAAGATGATGCTGAATGTGGATGCTGGCCCCTCCTTTGTTTGAGAAGAACACCCTTCTAAAACTCTCAGGCATTGATAGCATGTTTTGGGGAAACCTGTAGCATTCGAAGAATGTGGCTGGCTGAGGACACAGGACAAAGATGAAAGAAGACCACAGAAACACTGGGACACTAAGTCTTGGGGAGATAGAGCCTCTGAGGTGCCAACTTTCACAGGTTCTCCTCAGGAATCAGAGGTGACCATGTTTCTGTGTTGCAAAATAAAGCCAGATGCTGAAGATGGATTTGGAAGGACTGTGCCACTTCAGTCTGGGGCATGTGCTCACTCTCTCACTTGGCTCTGGCAAGTTCAAAGAGACTGGCTCATAATTTATCCTCTGTTTTGATGGAATCTATACCCACAAACCCAGCCAGCTCGGCAGCCATGGAATCCAAAAAGCCTCTCTAAGAGAATCTCAAGCGCACACCAGTTCCCTGGAGACTGAGAATCTGACCAGCAAAGCACACCTTTCCCAAGGCTGCTGGGGTCAGACAGGTGATCGAGGCCAGTGACTCTCCTGAGTGCGCTGGCTTTGGCCCGGGGCTGATGGAAGGCAGCCCAGAGATTGCAACAGGCTACAAGGGGACTAAGTACTGTTTCTGTCCTCTGCATCAACAGAAGCTGCGTGTTTCATGGCCAGCAGAAGGCATGGCCAAGGACGGTCTCAGCAGCTCTGCATATATTTGGGGTTCATCTTTCACCCGCCATTGTTCTGCATCGGCACACACACCATGCATGTGCCAGCACAAACTGTGCTAGCTTATTTCTTTTTCTCTCTTATTTGAGTCTCTCCTCAATCCACACCAAGCCCTCTCCATCCCTCATTACTGGCGGGCAGCCCAGCAAGCTCTACCATATTTTTATCCTGTTTGAAGCATACTGCACTCACCTATGCAGCCTGGTTGGGGACAATTTTTTTTTTTTTAACAAAATGGGGATATCACACACATTTTTCTTCATCATAATCTTCCTGTTAAACAGTACATCACAGAAAGCAATTCGAGCCCCTTGGATTTAACACTAATGTAGTCTGTTTAGTGCTCTTTAGTGTTTACATAATAATTCACAGCAGGGGTGTGCCATAATTTGAGTTATTAATCCGTCGTCGTCGGCAGGCATTCATTTTGATTCCAGCTTTTTGGTTACCACAGACATGTGACAAATGTTTATTATATGGTCCCATATATGCTTTGCTTTTTTTTTCCATGGGAGGAAGAGCTGCTGGGTGGAGAAGGAAACATGTAGTTTTAATTTTATAAGATGTTGCCTGCTTGTATTCTAAAAAGAGTTCCAACCTTTTATGTCTCCCTTTGCAAAGAACAAGAGTGACCTTTCACCAGCTTCCCTATGGGCAGGGGTTATACTCTACATTTATTATTCTCTTGTCTGAAAAAGTCAAGATATTAACTCTTACTTTAAAATTTTTACATTTCCCTGTCTACCAGTGAGTCTGCATGTGTTGACCATCTGGGCCTGCCACTTCCAGCATTTAGCCAGGTCCTTTCTCTCTCTCCACCCATGGTTATCTGAATCGGAGAGTCCTACAAGCCCCGAGCTGGGTCTTCAAGTTGTGTTCATTGTTTATAGGCTTCTTTTCTTTCCATCATGCTTCTTTGGCAACCTAAAAGCTTTGAAGTTTTAAGTGGTCAAAAAAGAGCTTTTGGAGAGTCCACCCTGGAGTTTATGTGTAGTTTTTAGGAGCATGCTAGCGGAGTCTCATGGTTTTATTTTTCCCACTTAAATCTTTAATATATTTGGAATTTATTTTTCTATGAGGTATAAGCTCAGAATTCATTTTTTTCCCAGATAACGGACCAGATGTAAAAACACAATTAATTGACACTTTCCCACAAAGTTGAAAAAAAAAAAAAAACCACCATTAAGGTTTAAGGTTTATTAGACTCTGATGTACTGTTGTTCTAGACTCTGGAGGTGGAACCCAATTCTAGGATCTCTAACTCTGAGTCAGTCAGAAGCATACAGTTCTTGCTGGTGCTTTTGGGGCTAGTCTGACAGTAAAGACCACAGTCTTTTCTGAACGTGTGTTGTGTCCCTATATTCAAGTCCTCCTCCTTTCCACTTACACTTTCTATAGTGTTACCCAGCTTCTCTTGCACCCCTCAGACCTGCTCACGTCATGTAAATGTATACATTAGCTTATGGACTGAGGCCTTTGTAATGACTTCTAAATCTTCCTGTGTAAGAAGACAATACACATTCTATTTACACCCTGGTTTTAGGTCTTTATTTCTGTGTCCTTTTTCAGTGGCGCTGGGGACTGTGCACAGTAGGCATGGACTCTACCATGAGCTATATCCCCAGTCCTACTTTTACTTTACTGTTGAACTCTGAGACAGGTCTTACTAAGTGGCCTGGGCCAGCCTTGAACTCACTCCACGGCCGAGCCAAGCGTGAAGTCTAAGATCCTCTGGCCTCAGCCTTCACAATGCCAGGATTACAGGAGGTGTTCTGAGGCCCAGGTGACTTAATCTTTCATTAAGACAGTGGGCCATTTCATATGGATACCATCAAATTGCAGCTAATATGTAATTTATACTTTTAAACTACATGAGGGACAGAATCATACGATGCTACCTGCCGGGTCCCTAGATCTTGAGGACAAATGATTCTCCCTGCCTCGGTCTCTCAAGCAGCTGAGACTCAGGCATGTACTGCTCTAACAGCAATGTATATGTTTAGTTGTTTTCTGAAAGGAGTTCTTAGTATTTTTGCAGTTTTTTAGAAGCCCATGGAAATAGAAATAGACTTAGATTTAGAATTTAAAGATAGCCTATAGACTTAGAAATAGAATTACTGATTACTAGGACAGAAAAAAAAAGTCTTATCTGGCTCTTTTGGAGTTCTTTCATATTTCTAGTATTTTTTTTTGTTGGTTTCTTCTGGGTTTTCAGGATAAACAACCATGTATGAGCATAGATAGTCAACCATTGTTTCATTTCCATGAGTATTTGTATAAGCATTGAAACTGCCCGTGATTTCCCCAATATTTGTAACAGCTATTTAACTTTTTTGGTGGTTGCCGGAAATGCTAGGATGATGCTGAACTCCACAGTGATGATGGCCGGGCCCCCTGGGGTGATGGCTGGTCCACCAACCTGGAGTTTGCCGTGGACGGCCACATGTGCAGCTTTGCAAGCAGTTTGAAATCTGGCCGATTGGCTTCTTTGCATTTATATTCTTTTTTTTCCCCAAGTCTTATTTTGGGAATGCCAGCTGAACTGCTTCAAACACGTGTGCATTTACTGATGGGAGCACGTTTTTATTCACTTTATTGACGTAGTTTGGTTGATTTGCTTTTCATCTGAAACTCTTGTATTCGGAACATCAGCCCTGCTTTGTCAAATACTTCGCTCTTTCAACATAGAGCTAAGCTCTCTTAGTTGATGTTTTATGTCAATGTCTGTAACTACAAGTGACGCCTGCTCACAGTTTTCTTTTTTAAGTTATGTTGGCTTAATAATGGGGTTAATTTTTTGATTAATTTAAATAATACCAGAGTTATCCCCTCACTGAAAATGATATAATGTCTAGCTAGATCTACTTAACCCAGGAAGCTTTTCTTCCTGGTGGCCTTCAAAATTTCTGTCTCCCCTCAAACTTAACTGATATGGAAGTTAAACTATCGCTCTGGGACAGTTCTTCATGCTCAGGGGTTATGACCAGTGGAGACACCTAAGAGCTCAGCTGAACAATGTCCAACACACACTATAGTTTTCCTACACACACCTATTCTAAAGTTTAAGTTTTAACTTAGAAACAGTTCGGGTTAACGGTGAGAACTATTAATAAAAGAGATGTCGTAATAATATGTTACTATGAAAATAGTTAAAACAAGATCCTTTTCCTGGTATTTTACTTAAAAATTTTTGTGATTATAATTACATCATTTCCCTCTTCTCTTCCATTCCCTCCAAACTTCCCAATTATCCCTGCCCCTGCCTTGTTTTCTTTTGGATTCATGGACTCTTTTATCATTAATTGTTGTTACGTGTGTGTGTGTGTGTGTGTGTGTGTGTGTGTGTGTGTGTGTGTGTGTGTATTGTGAAACACAACCAGCATAGTCTGTAGAATGTTACTTGTATGTGTATGTTTTTCAGGCTGACCATTTGGTATCCGATTCCAGTTGGTGTGCTCTTCCCTGGGTAAGACTCTGTCTCCTGCTCTCTGTGCTCCCTAGCTGCCTGTAGTTCTTGGGGTAGGGTTGAGGCCTCAAGAGCTGCAGCAGCAACACACATATCTTGACAGTACCCGAGAGCTCACTAATTGGACTCGAGGTCCACTCAATAAGATGGACATCATGCCCGGTACTGGAAACCTAGCCAATTACCCAGGGACAGTGAAGTTATGGATCTTTGGAGAAGAACCTGCAGCCGCCACTTTACTAACCAGCACAATCCCTAACTCCATTCTAAATATTTGTCCTCAGACTCACAGGTGAGTAGAGTTCTCACCTCCCATTGAGGAAACTTCTTTTTAACAGATGGAGAGCATTCCGGTGAACTACAATCAATCACAGTGCACAGCTGTGGAGGCCAGTCCCAATGAGTACAAAACACTCCTGCCCCTGAGGCTCGGGGAACATTAATGAAGGGGGGCAGAAAGACTGTAAGAGCCAGAGGATGAGGGGGTTTTCTGTCCGGTGGAGCCCCAGCACCATGGGGATCTTACTTCTAAGAGTCTCAGTCTGCAGTTGACCGACCGCAGGAAACCGAAGCCCCAGAGGGCAATCACAGGTAGGCAACTAATGGGAAGAGAATCTAATGGGACATCATCAGCTCAGTATTTAGAGTCATGCAGAAGCCACGTCTGCTTCATTCTGTCTAAGAAGGCTGTGGCAAACTGAGAAACAACAATCTACGTTAGCTGCCTGGGGGAATCAAACTTTAAAAAAAAAGGCACAAGAGGAGAAAAAGCAGGACAGAAATGCTGCAAATGCTTCACATCTCACAGGCGGCCCCCTGTAAAATGTCTCTGACTGTGGACTGACACCAACTGTACAATAGGACATTGCTGGGACCATAACTGCAAGATTAATATGGATGCGAGAACAGCACTATGTCGGGCTTTTCGGATTTGATCATTACACTGCAGTCACACACACAGTCTTAGCAACTCTATACTGAAGGTGATGGGCACTCAGTTGGTTCAGAATAGGTGTGTGTGTGTGTGTGTGTACACATGCATGCACACACAGGTGCATGCACACCTGTGTAGGTGGGCACATGCATGAAGAGAGATAGCACGTGGAGGCAAAGTGCTAACAATCGACTAACCCAAGTAAAGAATAGCTAGGAGTTCTTTGTGCTTTTTTTAAAAAATTAACTTTAATTTCATTTTTTTCATATTCCTCACCAAAACAATTGCCATGGGAGAAATCTGGTATGATTTGGATATGATCTAAGTGTGTTTTCCAGAGGAGTTCATGGCTGGAGGCTTGGTCTTCAGTGTGGGTTTGCTGGGGTGATGGGACCTTTAAGAGGCGAGGCCTAGAGTCAGGGAACCAGGTGAGGGGTTCACCAGGGCTGAACAGATATGGCTTCATCTTCCGAGACTGGGATCAGTTAAGCCTGTTTTCTCTATAAAGTTTTCAGTCTTGGATACTTTCTCATGATACCCACAAACAAATGAAGATACTTTCATGTTCTCAAAAGGTTTCAAGCTTCTAGTGTGAGAGATTCCAGGACTGCTTGTCTGGTGCAAGTAGAAACACCTTTTGACCAGCACCCCCAGCACCTCCAGCACACCCTAGCATTTCTATCATGCCCCGGCATCCACTTTAATATCTATTCTATAGACTCTGGTAACCTAGCGTCATTTCACCTCAGAATTGACTTGTCTGCGACAGAGTCCTTTTCTCTATTGGTTGGTGGGCACTGTGTACATAAAACATATTCCTGACCCTATACATTAAAGTCAAGGTGGTTCTTAACCCTCCACAGGCATAACACTGCCCAGGGGCATTCTTTTCAAAGGATGCATATTTCTGAGGCACTCTCTACTGAGTGACTGAGGGGCTCAGGAATCTGTATTTTTTAAAACAAACCCTTGTTTTTCTTTCTTGTGAATGGACTATGGGCCTTGTTTTGATCAACACTGTTCTTCAGCCTCAGGCATCCCCTAAAATTTCTTAGGTTTAATTTGAATTTACCAAAGCTAACCAGAGCCAAGAAAATCATCCTGCTCTCACAGCCTGGGCATGACAATAGGGCTAAACCCTACTCATCCCATAGGGTGACATGCTTCCTAGGCTGTCCTTAACTCAAAAACATAGCCTCCAAGGGATCAGCTTCATGTTTGATGTAGGTGTGTGGCAAGGGTTTTTATGTGGCTTCTCTCGTCATCTCTATCCCCTCTCTCTTATCTATCTGTCTAGTTTCTTGTCAGTACACAGAAGTGAGGCCCTTTGAGCCATGGTTGTGGGGAAGGTGGTTTTAGCCTTAACTTAACCCTTCTCTCTCTACTGCTCACCTTTCAGTGGATCTGCACAAGGAGGTAGTGCACTTTGCAGCAGGTAATACGGTTAACGAACTGACCATCACTGCTCAAATCAAAAGAAGAACCCAGCCTTGCCAGTGTCTGAGCCCACACACTTGATCCTTTTCACCTACAAGTCACATAGACCCAGGTCACACTGTGTGTTCAGCATTTTATAGCCAACAGGGTAGCATTGAGAGAAAAGTGGGCTGGAGGATGTGACTAAACAGCCACCAATGCACACAGTACCATACTCCCTCCATTTCATCTACACCTCCCCAGGGCAGCTACTTCAGAGGTTGAACTCCGTGCAAGAAGCTAGGATTGGTTCACCAAGCAGTCGGAGAGAGCAACTCAAGAGATGAGCCACTACAGTGACCTACAGATGGGCCACCATGGCATTGAGTCACACCTGCCCCTTAGTTCTTTCTGCCAGAGAAACAAAAAACAAGAAAACTAGACATTTTAGCTTATAGTTTATACTTATTTTTGGCTTTCGTATTTATCTAATCCATTAAGTAATTAAAAAAAACCCATCCCCCTCAAAACAAACAACAAAGATACTGCTGAGTGTTCTTACAGGAGCTGGAACTCAGAACTCATAGACATCCTTGCAAGGCAAAAAGCTCACTAGATCATATGTCCTTTGTTCATATCTATGTTTAAGAATTCAGAAGTAAAGTTATATGATGGAGTGAGTTTAGAGGCAGGACAGAAATTTTTACTTGAAAATGTTGCAGAGGCATTTAGCAAGGGGGTAAGCCAGGGGCCTATTACCAAGATATATGGGTTAATAATTTCATGGGGCTACTCAAGAATGATCTGCTATGATTGAAACCATGTGTGGAGAGTTTGGGCTTCTGCAGGATGTGTCATGGCGACAAAGGCCCTAAAGATAGATTTGTGCTGCCTGTGAAGGACACAGATGATTGGCTTAGATACACTTCCCAGACATAAACAGAAAAGGCATGCCCTGAAGTTCTGCATGCTATCAGATAGAAAGGGGAATGCTTACCACATTGTACAAGCCGATGCACCAGCGCTCAAATAAAATCTGCCCAGAAAATCCATTAACAAAGGCGAACCAAAGCTGTAAGAGAACAAAGTTCGTCAAGTTTTATATCAATATTGACCTAAATGTTTCCACTCACTGGAGAAGGAGCAGGGAATGCGGACCACCAGCTGGACACAGCTGCCTCCTGAGAGAGTCTGTGTGCCAGGATTATGGCAATTATCCTTTCAAGGAATATAAATTCCCAATATCATAAATATCAATATCTTAAAGAAAATTTATATTAATGATGCACCAACTTTGGGAGGTTACATATGCCATGTTTACAGGGAAATGAACTGATATCAAATATGTTTTTTGAGTCAACACTTTCTGGTTGACTGAAAGTGTCTGAACTTCATACATTTTCCCCTATAAAACTGATTTGATAAATGTGATTTCTCTTTGTAGGATTTTATCAAATAGCTAAAGATCATAACTAATTAAAAAACCAAGAAACACTTCTGTTGGCCATATGTGTTTTTAGTTGACAAAATAGACAAAATAATAACTTCCTTGATTGACTGTCTGCCACCTTGCCAAAAGTCAACACATAATGTTAAGAAACAAGCACACTTAAATCATCTTTTATGGTAACATGGATGTATTAGTGAATAAAATGCTGGATTATCATTCATGAGCAGCTATGGAGCAAAGTGCTGTATACTAGACAGCAAATTAATATCTAAAATATATAAAGCTCTTAAAAAATAAACACTAAATAAACAAACATTTCAATCACTGAATGAGAAAAGGAATTAATTGGACAAATCGTTCTCAGAAGATGATGTAAAATGGCCAGTAAACATATGAGAAAAACAGTCAGCAACCTTAGCCATCAGGGATATGCAAATTAAACTACAATCCATCTCAATCAGAATGACATCATCAAGAAAACAAATGGCAACTGTGGTGGTTTGAATAAGAATGCCCCCCAAAGGCTCATAGATTTGAATGCCTGGTTAACACAGAGTGGCAATATTTAAAAGGATTTGGAGGTGTGGCGCCATGAAATAATCCTTTTGTACACTGTAAAGATTTGTCACTTGGATTGGTTTAATAAAAAGCTGATTGGCTGACAGCCAGGCAGGAAGTATAGGCAGGGCAATCAAACTGAGAATGCTGGGATGAAGAAGGGCAGACTCAGGAGAGTTGCCACCAGATGCAGAGAAGCAAGATGGGCATGCTGTACTGAGAAAAGGTACCAAATCATGTGCAGAGAGGGTAGATCAGAAATATGGGTTAATTTAAAGTGTAAAAGTTGGCTAGTAGTGAGCCTGAGCTATTGGCCGAGCATTTACAATTATTAAGCTTTTGTGTGGTTATTTGGGTACATTGCTGGGACAAAAAACTCTGCCTACAAATGGCATTCCAACATGGGGCCAGAATTTCCATGTGAAGCCTGACAGAGCTTCGAAAAGGGTTCTAGACACACAGAAACAAAGCAAGAACAGCTTCCTAGTCTCATGTCTCTCTTGTAGTACAGGGACGATCTTGGCCATTGCCTGCAGGCTTGAACTGTGGCAGGTTCCCATAGTCTTTCATGCCAGCTGCAGTACAGAGAAGCAGCTCCCAGTTTAAATGCTCATGTGATCAGAAAAAGGATAGAGATACATAGTAAAAAGAGGATTCAGACAAAAAGAAAGAAAGAAAGAAAGAAAGAAAGAAAGAAAGAAAGAAAGAAAGAAAGAAAAAAGCTCTGAAACAGTGTGCTTAAAAATATACATAGACTTGGGAGAGAGAAGAGAAAGAGTATATACAGTCTTAGATTAAAAACATAGTTTTAGCCAAGCGGTGGTGGCGCATGCCTTCAATCCCAGCACTTGGGAGGCAGAGGCAGGCAGATCTTTGTGAGTTCGAGGCCAGCCTGGTCTACAGAGTGAGATCCAGGAAAGGCGCAAAGCTACACAGAGAAACCCTGTCTCAAAAAACCAAAAAACTAAAACAAAAACATAGTTTTAAAATAACAAAGTCATTAAAAAAGGAATAGAATAATAAAAAATATAATAAGCCACATAAATATGGAAAATATACAGAGGTCTGGATCCTGTATATTATTGTGTTGTCTTTACAGTTTTTTTTACTGCTAATGAGCAAATGATAACTGCTAAGAAACATTTGATTATGAAAGCTGCTAGATTAAACAAACCTATATATTTAAAAAATATCTTCAAAATTTAAGTCAGAAGGTGTGTTGTTTTGGGGGAGAGGTTGTGCTTTTGTTTTCATAGGAAATGAGAAGCTGTGGATTCATTCTGGGTTAAAATAATCAGGTTTGATCGGGGAGACCCCCTGAAATCCTGACTACAGACATAAAGAAATAAACCTAGAACTACAAAATATGTGACATATATTCTACCTGTTCAAACATAAAACAAAAAATCATCTTTAATTGACTTATATATGCCACATATTCCATACTTGTACTATATGTTACCTTTAAAAGTTCATGTATTTTCCAGAACAAGGGACCTGATACCAATGAAAATGGATGGCCCAGGTAATCCAGTATCCAGTTTCAAGGCTGCTGGCTGAGATGGTCCAGGCTCACAAACTACTCCAGCTAAGATCTAACGATTATACTGATTTTATCAAGGTTCCCCCAAAGATAACAGAGCTCACAAACAACAGGAAGTAGTCTAGAGAACAACACCCACATTCCCAAAAAATGGGTTATGGATGTTTATTATCATTTAAGGGGGATTGGCTACACGCTGTTATTGGTAATGGTCAGGGAAAAAGCTAAAGAAAGGAGATTAGAGTCAATGATCTTGTTCTGAAAAGAAAAAGGGGGGATATAGAAATGAAAGGATAAAAGAGTAGATTATTGAATCTACTTTTAAACCAAAAAAGCAATTACTAGTCTTAAATAATTTACATTGGTATGGATTTTTGTATACTGATATAAATTTGATGTTATTTTTGTTATACTGTATATATGTTTCTACTCTTGCTTAAGATATTTTTGTATATTGTTACAAATTTAAGGTTATCTTTGTTAGAAGATACTGTACATACATTTCCACTCTTGTTTAATGTATTGTACTTACGCAACTCATTTAACAATGTAATGTAAATTTATAGTCCTTGAAAGTTATTATTACAAACTATTTAGGATAATAAAGAAATGCAGGTTAGTAGTTAGTCACCTATTACTATCAAACTTACAGTCATGTTAGTTAGGTTTTCAAGGAAATACAGAAATGTATTTTAGATAGATAGGTAATCTTCAAACACTTCAAAGACCTACAGAATATGGCATTTAAAATGTTGTAATAATTTAGACTTTTCTTGATATGAGACAAGTCTGTTCCTGGCAGTACTATTCTACTTCAAAAGAGGGTGATGGGCACCAAAGAAACTCCATATGGTGTCTGCTTTAACTGTGACAAGATTAGCCATCTGAGCAAGAAACTGCTTTTGCCTTGACTGCTTGACTGTGTGCTGTGCAGACAGGACATGCAGGACCCACAGGAAAGTGACTGTTGAATTTTGCCAAAACAAGGCAGGCCAGTACTTCAAGATTCCTGCTTCACTGAAAAGTCTGCCAGGTACTCTAGGCCTGTAGGCTGAAGATGGATGCCCCAACATTGCAGATGAACTTTAGGTCACTGTCCAGGCAGATGTCTCTGTTGTTAGGTAATATTAATTCCTTCTGGGGTCTTTGATGGAGTTAAAGACTAAGTAATTAGAATTTCATTTTTCCTTATTTAGGATAGAAAGTAAATTAGTTATAAAACTTTAGACTCACCAAGATAAGATAGATAATTGAGTATTTTCTTTAAATTTGTCAAATACAAATAGGCTGGATATTATAACTGTAATTCTTACTTAATAACTGTTTCATTGTATGTAGTTTTACTATGTTAAGTTTAAACCTTCCTTTTAATTAGACAAAAAGAGGAAAATGCTTTGGAATAATCCTTTTGTACACTGTGAGGATTTGTCATTCAGATTGGTTTAATAAAAAGCTGATTGGCTGATAGCCTGGCAGGAAGTATACGTGGGCCAATCAAACTGAGAATGGAGAAGGGCAGAGTCAGAGAGATGCCAGCAGATGCAGAGGGAACAGGAAGTGTAAAAAATGAGGTAACAAGCCATAAGCCACGTGTAGAGGGTAGATAAGAAATATGAATTAATTTAAAGTGTGAGAGTTAGCTAGTAACAAGCCTGAGCTATCGGCTAAAAATTTGTAATTAATATATTGTTTATTTGGGAACTGACAGGTGAGAAAGAAGTCTACAACATGGCTTTGTTGCAGGAAGTATGTCACTGGGGGCAGGTGTTGAGATTTCAAATGCCTAAGCCAGGCATGGTGTTTCACTCTCTTCCTGCTGCCTGCTGATCCGGGTGTAGAATTTTCAGCCCCTTCTCCAGTACTATGTCTGCCTGCATGTTCCCATGCTTCCTGTCATGACAATAATGGATTAAGCCTCAAAACTGTAAGCCAGCCCCAGTTAAATGCTTTCTTTTATAAGAGTTGCCATGGTCATGGTGTCTCTTAATAGCAACAGAACACCGACTAAGACAGCAAGCAGTCAATGCTGCTGTGGATCGGTCATCTAGCAGAAAACTCATGACACACAGAGACTCACTGTGGTGCCACAGGGGTGCTCTCCCAAGAGGAAGTAAAGGCAGCAAGATCTGTAACAGGTGAGCAGTGGAGAAGAAACAAAATCCAGGGGGAAGTGTCCTGAGACAAGGGTGGTGCTTCCTCCCCAAAGGTCTCAGAAAGCAAACAGAACAAGGACCAGGGCAACAACAGCCAAAAACTCACATGAGATGGGGGGAAATGCACAGAGATAGTCTCTACTGAAGAACCATCCATAGGGTAGAATAAAACTTCAAGACTCTTGGTGAGTCCATAGGATCTAAACAAAAGTGACTTTTCTTTGAACTAGGAGCCGAAATTAAATTTCCCAGACAACAAAGAAGGTAGCAAAGAGGAAAAGGTTGATGTTAGAGACTAAAGCCACAGAAATGGAAAACAACAACAACAACAGAATTGACTGATAAAAACCAGTTAGAGATCAATAGGG